CTGGGTGAGCGAAATTATGGGCCGGCAATTGATATATGGGGCGCGGGCTGCATTATGGCCGAATTATGGACGCGCACTCCTATTTTGCAGGTGTGCCATTTCAAGCTCTGGCTCAGGGATGAATTGATTTGTGGCTCAAAACAGGATATTTCTGAAAATGAAGTCAAAATTTTGCAGGGCTCCACTGAACAGAAGCAGCTATCACTCATCTCAAACTTATGTGGGAGTATTAATCCTGAAACGTGGCGCGGTGTTGAGAAGCTGCCTTTGTACGGCAAAATAGAGCTAAAGCAAAACCTGAGACGACGTGTCGTAGAGCGTCTAGAACCTTACGTCAAGGTAAAGTTAATTCATTCCAGTTGCTTGAGTACACTTTGTGCGAATGACCAGCATGTTAGAATCGAGATGCAGGCCATCAGGAAAACCGACCTTTACCGGATGTATGAATGAATTCTTGAGTGGATGTCTTCCTCTCCTTTGATGGTTCCGGGCCCTGCGCATCGGGCAGTAATTCCATAGATAATCCATTTCATGTTGTATACGTGTTTTTCAGGACCGTGATGCGCTGAACCTGGTTGATAGCCTTCTGGCTTTGAACCCGAAGACACGCCTCAGCGCCGAACAGGCCCTTGACCATGCATTCTTTTTCACAGAACCCCGTCCTGCTCCTGATGTCAAGGACCTGATGAGTACGATTCCGGTGTGTCGTTTTTTCCGAGCTTTTAAAAAAGCATTACCTAGCATTTTCTTATTCTCAGAAGTGTGATTTCACTGTTGTTAGTGTTACTTGCATTCTTTTAAAGGCGCAAAATTCACAATTCTTTGGAAGAATCGCATCAAACAATTTGAGTGCTGAATCAGATAAAAATTTTCTTACTAACGCGGTAGCAATGCGCCAAAATATCGCGCAAGAAATATTTTATTTTTAATGTTAATTCAAGCCTTCTATTGCAGGCAAGTTTATTTGAGTACAATGTCGGACGAGATAATCAGCGCGGACGAGAAGTACAACATCAGGAGAACCAGTCTTCGATGGGGCCCCAATGCCAATACTTTGACAGAATTTTTTGAGTGGACTTTTGTCGATTTTTTTTGGTAATTAATGTTGCAGTAATTTTTAATCGCCTATTCTGCGTACATTTCCCTTTTTTTTGCTGGAACATTACAGTGATGAACTGACCAGAAGCATGTAAATGCTAAACAGGTCACTTTGTGCACGAGCGAGTGAAGAACCGCTAGCTTTTCTTAAGCAGCAATCAGCAAAGGACTTCGTTCTAGCTCTGAATGTGCAGGAAATCATCGTTTTAGTAAAAGAAAGCAAAATCCGATGAGCTACGAGCGTCATTCAACGACCGCTGGCGCATTTGTGTGTACTGCTGCAAGTACCACAAAATAGAACGGCCCCATAGAATTGCGCTTGGAATGCAGCTAATATTCGTCACTCTGGTTCACCCCACTACCCGCAAAAAAAATTTATGCGGACAGAACCATGCGCATCTGGAGCTGATTCTGAAGTCATTTAATTTTACGTGGACAGAGAACATCCCCTTAAAATTTCTGACTTATTTCGATCAAGTTCCTTTCGGTCTCGTCGATGATTTTGTATGTGTTGTTGTACATGTAAATGTAGTATTTTTGCCGTGTCTTCTGACGCTGAGCGTCTGTTTTGTTATTTGTTTGGGTTCAAGTGGTTTTCTATCACTGAATGATAAAGCTCTGTTAATAAGCATCTATTCCAACTAAAGTCAATTTCTTAGAGTCTAGCCACGTGGCGCACTTGCAACATGAGTCAACGTCAAGTGCCAGATGATAGGGAGCGAATTGCTTGGGGAATTACTTTTTATTGTTCGGTTTTATGGATGGAATTCCACCGCCACACTGGGAGTAATCGACTATCACGGGACCATCCGGGGGTTCTTCGGGGCTGAACACCAGTGACAGTTTCCTCAACGAATTCCCCGCTCTCCTTAAATACATTTAGTGGCAATTACTGCTAAAGTTGGTCCAGCTCGATCAAACAAAAAACATCCTTTCGCATGTTTTTGTGAAATTTGGTACTGGTTGCACACGAGTACCGGTTTCTTCAGGTGAAGTTTGGAATGCAAGCACAAGTTTACTAGCTTCTTTTTAGCATCTAATTTCTTGCTTAGCATCATAAATTCATGTAACTCCCCGCTTCATAACCCCAATTTTAATTCTAAATCCCACCACCAAGCAAGATCTCAGCCCTTTTCCAATCAACAGCTCTACCTCCCTCCCTCCTATGACCCCTGAGACCTAAATCACCATTCCTGGGCACATATGGCCGCTCCTTTGTTCCCTAGGCCCTCCATTTCCCAGCACCGGCCGTCGCAACTTGTCTCCAGGCCCCGTCGCAACTTGTCCTTCAACCCCGGCCGAGCAAGCCCTGAAGAGGACGAGTTTTAGCCAGTTTTTTAGGGAGTTGCCACATGAACTTTGACGAGGGAGCATTAGTTACCCGCGGAGCAAGTCTCCAGACCCGGTCAACCCAAACCCATCACAACTTGTCCTCCGGCCTTGGCCAAAAGCTCAGTGAGGTCGAATTTTAGTCCGTTCATCGCGAGTTGGCACGTGGACCTGACAAAGGGGCATCAAGTACTCTGTGGAGAAGTTGGGTTCGTGGTTTGCGTGGTCGTTGTTGTTCGTTCACGTGTGGTCGCCATTTTTTCCCGGACCGGCTCGCACGTACATAATCCGAGTAGGCCGCTGCTGCCCATGAGGGTTGCTTGCGCGTTGCATCGGATTCCCACGAAATTTGGGGGTATCGATTGTTCGTGTGTGTCCGTGTGCTTATTACCCCGTAAAGTACGGGGATGGTTGGGGAGATTTACCCGATTTTAAGAATTCTGGAAGGCAAAGGTCCCTGCCTCTCTTCCCAGGAAGGCAAGGTTCGAGTTCTGGGTGACGCCTGTGAAAAAGCTTTTTTGAGCATGCAATGTTTTCTTGATGTTACATTTTTTTGCGCCAAACGTGAATCGTTATCACGGGAAGCTTTCTGGATCTGTATGTATTGCTAAATCTCAGGGATTATGTATCCCAGGAGTCGGGAATACGGCATACCTTGTGCTTTTCTAAACAATTTTTAAAAG